ACATGATGTCTGCCACCATTGATGTCACCTGTGCTCAGTGTTTGACAATTTTCTGTAAAAATTTGTTTTCCTTTCTCCCTCTACCCTTGGAAGCAAGTCACCAAGGACAGTAACCTCATTTGTAAAGTTTTGTTAACTAACTTCCCTGTAGATACTTTACACGCTGTATTTGAAATCATGCCTACTTTAGGGGCAAGTGGTATCTGATTTCAGATATGTATAGTCTAGACTTCATGTTTAAAGCCTTAAATGCAAGAATAAATAAAAAAAACAGTCTAAATGCAGGAATGTTTTGAAGCAGTGTAATTTTGCAACTGCCTGCATTTTGATTTATTAGTTTTACTTTAAAATTTCCACAATCTACAAACTGTATCAGCTGCTCTGCTCTGATCAGATGGCTGCACAGATTGCTCCCGATTCTTTGAGCGTAAGAAAGCCTCACATTTTTCTCATAGAATTTGGAGGATAATATTTAGCATCATAACATTTTATCATACTGAAGTCTGTCTAGTAAACATAAAAATACATTGCTTATAGTTAATGGAAGTATTTTTTAGTATAAAAACGTTAAGGTGGGGGAGTTTTCCATGGCCTCTGGCACTGGGGCAGTTCACTGCTTCCTTCTCAGCTCTCCACCCACTTCTCCCACCTAAAAGAAGTCGGCTGTAGGAGTTCATGGTTCCTCTGTCGGCCATCTTGTCCTGTGTTTCAGGAAGGGGAGAGATTCTTCCAGTTCTTTCTCATTAGTCTGTTACTTAGTCAAGTCAAATGGCCTTATTTAAGAAAAAAATTAAAATATTACTACTTTAGCATATAATCAGAATATTCTGGAAATGATATCTATGATGTGGTCCTTGTATATGTTTATAGGATATCCTCTTAGAATTTGTAACGAATTTTGTAGGTCCAGATTTGGAGTCATTCCGTGTCATCTACAGTTATAAACATTGTCTGGGTGGACTTGCTAAGTCTTTCTTCAAGACTCTGGAACTTAATTGAACCTCTTGTTTTCTCTTGACTTTGAGCCATTTTCGGAATCTTGCACTGAGGGAAAAGGCTTAAAAGTACGTCTGAGGAGTCTTGCTCGCTGCATGGTCACTTGGAAGGACAAGTAAAAACGAGTCGTGTTTTCAGTCATGCGCAGGGGAAATCCTTTCCTTGGCTTTCAGTTCCACTCAGTAGTCAACCGATTCCTTCCGTTCATGTGGGGATTCCCATGCTGACGGTCAGGGGGCCTCATCACATATGTGCAGAACACACAGCAGTGCTGTGTTTGTTATTTCTTAACTGGGTGAAGTCTGCCCCGAGTACTATTTGTGGTTTTAATATTACTCATTCTTAGTATGGACCTTTAAGTGTGAATAAAAAAGTTAAATATAGAAAATTGTCACCAACTAGGTTAAAGGCCATTTAAATACAAGATTTTTGGATATGTACTGTCTATAACATGTATATTATACCATAAATATATAAAACTCTCTTAAATTTTATGTAGCAGGTTAAAAAGCATACAAGAACAGAACTTTGAATGCATAATTCCAGTTTATGCCTGCCTTTTTATCCACTTAACTGTGCCTTCTTTCATTAGTTATAGACCACTGTCCTTGCTCAGGGGATAGAATGTGACTTTTTAAATTCTGTGTGTACGAGTGTTTTGTCAACATGTATATATGTGCACCAGATGTGTACTTGTTGCCAGAGGAGGTAAGATGAAGGTTTTGGGTCCCATGGATCTGAAGTTGGTAGTGAGCCACCATGTGGGTGCTGGGAATTGAATCGGACTCCTCTGTAAGATCAACAAGTGCTTTTAAATGCTGAACTGTCTGTCTTTGGCCCTGGGATGTGTTTTTTGTCTTACTTTGTTTGAGCGATTTGGAGGAAAAATGTACTGATGTGACAGCTGCAGTCTAGCCAAGAGTCTTATAAGATAGAGGACTCTGAAGTTAGCATACCTACATGAAGGTTTTAAAATATGTGGAACACTGTTGCTGTTTCTTGAGTTTGCAGAAGAGACAACCATGGCTTCTGGGTGACCCTTCACTCTGCTCAGCCACCCTAGTTTATGTCCCTAGAAACCATCCTCTAACACACAGCAGCTTGCCCTCTGTTCTACTCTGCCAGCATGTTTGCACAAAGCAGGGAGTGGAAAGTCTTCTTAGCTGAGAAGGATGCTGGAGTCCGCTGTTGAGATGCCATACCCCTGTCCTTGGCAGCCTTGCCCTCCAGCGTCATCTCCAGTCCCTCACAGAGGCTTGTTTCTACTGAGGGAATTCCTAGAGGTTGAAGCCATCTGGAATGATTGGGAAGGGAGGTATTTGACGCTTGTGCATGAGCCCTTCTATCCCATGGAAATAAGAAGAGCCATCCTGATTAAAAGTGTGTGTGTGTGTGGGGGGGGTGATTTTCATGGTTCCCCATCAGGCATGAATAGCTACAAAACTTCCTGACATTTCTATAACTAAATACACTGCTAATTTTTTGTGATACAAAGATTCAGCTTCATAAGAACACTTTAAAAATTCAACCTGTCTTCTGTTTCCTGTCTCTAAAATTCTGTTCTCCCTATAACATCTTCAGGAAAGTTGCAACACCACACAGTGACCACTTTCAACAAAATGTTTTTGCTTGGCCTTTACTACTGAAATGCAGAAACAGGAGTCTAAACAGCCAATGACTCCACCTGATTTTTACTATTTTTACTTGTTCCAAACTACATGGAACTGTGTAATAGCTTTACCTGGAAAGTTGACTCTTGCACACTTACCGTGACTTCCTTTTGAGCCAGGCTTGTGATAGGGACAGGGCCTCAGGGATAACAGAGGCCTAGAGAGATCTGGGGTTTAAAAGGATGAATGAAAGCCAGTTCATGAAAGGCAAGGGCTGCAGAAGGTGATGGGAAATGTCAGGCCCTGTGGAATCCCTGGGAGAGGTCCTCCTTCATTGGAGGCTCGTGGAGGTCAGAGTCCCTGCTAAGGACTGTAGAGTGTAAGTTTCTGCTTTAAGTTGTATATCAATTGGGAAAGAAAACTCAAGAGCATTCAGCTAAGAACATGTTCTGTTATTTTAGACATTTTGCAGTGCACGGCCCTTTAGTGGGCCTATAGAGACCTACTCTCAAGTCGAGAGATAACTCACAGTTACAAGTGTACACTGCTGTTCCAGAAGACCTGAAGTAGAAATGCAGAAAGCCACATCAGGTGGCTCACAGTGCTTAAAATCCTAAATCCGGAAGATACAAACTTTGTGGCCTCCATGGGTACTTGTAGTGATATGTATATACCCACGCACATACACATGATTCAAAATAATGAAAATAATAATTTTTAAAAGAAGATGTGTTCTTAGAAAGGACTTTACAGAAAGAATGGTCTGCCCAGTCATTACTGAAAAGATGTATAGTCATCTATCCTTTAGTTTAGCCAGGCATAGTGGCAGACACCTTTAATCCTAGCAAATAGGAGGCAGAAGCAGGAGGATCTCTGAGTTGAAGGCCAGCCCAGCCCACAGAGTGAGTTCCAGTACATCCAGAGATAAATAAATAAATAAATAAATAAATAAATAAATAAATAAATAAATAAATAACTTTCACTTTGGTAGTTGAAAGTCAGCAGAGAAAATGGCAGGGTATCCCTAGAATACATACAGATTTCCTTCAAGTGTATTAGAAAGTTGTGTTAGAATCAGCATCCTGTAGAAGCTGTCACTCCGTCCCACAGGGTTGTGAGTTGCACAGCTGCAGCTTTGCTCGGCTGGGTAAAATTTGGGACATTCCCTTTCACGGTCTGGAGGTCACGATGGGACAGTGTTAGGGTGTGGGGGCTGGTGGCTAGTGAAGCACGTCCTCAGGCGGGCTGAAGGGATACACATTTTTATCTTTGGGCCACTAGGGAGCCATAGTGGGAACTTGAGAGGAAGGAGATGCTAGCTCTAAGTCTGGAGTGGAATGTGGGGCACTAGTCAGTAGTTAGAGAATATGGGGAGACATGGCACCGGCCTCCAGTTAACAATCCCTGCTTTCCTCTTCCCTACTCCTTGCCCTCACTTAGGAGCAGCCCTGGGGCAGCTGCACAGAGGTTTTAATTACTTATTAATAACATTATTAATTACTTTGTTTTGGGTAATGATGGTTGGAGGTTTGAGAACAGAATTGACATCAGGAGCTCAGGAAACAGAGACAGCGTTGACAGGTTGCTCTACCCCTACCTCCCCAGGCACTTTCTAGGACCACAGTAGGAGTTTTGTAGTCAGCCAGTCATATTGTTGAGTCTGCCCTTAGTATCTCCAACAAGTTTGTTGGTGTGGTGATTCTCCCTTTCTTCAAAGGCCAGTGGGCCACGTCCCTATAGCCTGTTTCCACACACACTCTGATTAGAACAGACTTTCTGCACAATGGCCTTAGCCTGGGCTTGAGTTGTAGAATATACAGTGGCCCACGGTCAACCTTGCATACTGAATGCAGCACAGTGCCCTACTCAGCAGGTCCTCTTGTAGCTAGAGTGCAGGGAAGGCAGGGAGCCTGAGCTGTGTGGCAGGCATCGTGAGCTTTGAGAGCATCTCAGGCCCGCTGCCCGGGTTTCCTGTGAGTGTCCTTTGCTCTCCTTCTCAGGGCGCTCTTACACTATCTTTATTATAACAAGCACTATCTTGTCAACATAGCCATAAAATAGCGTTTCATAATTTCCTGTTAACTGATTACATTTTTAAAGTTTTTTTTTGTCTCTGCGTAAATGTTTTGTCGCCATATGTATGTGCACCATATGTCTGCCTAGTGCCCACGGAGTACAGAAGAGGGGGAGTCAGATCCTCTGGAGCTGCATTTACAGATACAAGAGCAATAAATGCTCTCACCCCCTGAGCCATCTCTCCAGGCTCGCTGCTAGAATTTTTAAGAATAGCCCTTTCTCCTCTAAATGAAAATGGGACTTAGTTTGCTTAACTTGTATTTTTGTTAGAAGTATTCAAAGTCATTCCTCACGTACTTTTTTCTCCCGTGCCAGCAGGCCGCACACATACCTGATGCTTGGCTCTCGGGAAGACTCAGCAGAGATGGGGAGTTGGCCTGCAAGCTGGAACTCCAGGGCTCATTTGCAGTTCTCCATTTAGCTAGGAGGTTTCCAGGGCAACCACCTAAGCAGTAATTAAAGACGAGGAGCTAAAAGGTATGTACTTAAGAATCTGAATCCTCAAATGCGGTGGTCGGCAGGTTGGTATCACAGTATGCACTTTTCTTCATTGAACATAAATTTTAAAAAAATCTTAACATTCAATTAGATGACACACACTAAATGAGGATGTGCACTCTATGCTTTCATTTTTATCTTTTCACACGTGAGTGCAGGGAGTTTGAACGAAGGCAGATGTGAAGCCCTTGAGTGCCCTCTCCCGCACGTGGGGAAGGGGCACTGACTAGTTACTTAATGCTGCTTTCTACTTTCATTGCTGAGATTTCCCCCTCTTCACGTGAGTTCTTTTTATGTCAGTTTCTACTTGGTTGACCCAACGTTTCCCTTCCCCTGAAGCATGGACACTTACTTCCAGGCTTTGATGTGAACATTCATTCAATTCCACCTGAAAGGAATAGGTAACGTTTTCTAATGCATAAGAAAATGAGGAAATCCACGCTAGTTCCCTGACAACTCATCCGTGTGCTTAGAAATAACAGATGCCCGTAGAGGGGCAGGATATACAGGAGTCCAGCACTCCTGATCTTGAGTCTGGTAACATGGTTCTACGTGGAAAAGGGTTGTAGACTAGGATGCTCCCCTGCTAGAGGAGGAGGGGTGTTGCCCTACCCTGAGCATTCGTGGGCCTTGCGGACAGTTTGAATGATAGCCACAGTAGCTAGAAGGCTTTGAGTTGTCACAGTTGTTTCCAATCTGTCACCAACAGCCTGGAGACACTCCTGCTGTAGGATGGTGGCAGATGAAGTCGCTGTGCCCTGTCAACAGTTACCCCTCCTTGGATTCCTGGAGCTTCAGATGGAATTGTCACAAAGGCCTCTAGGGAGCTGGGCTCTGGAGTTTACTGTGGTTTTGCCCCCTTTCCTTGTGGCAAAAGTTTAAAAAACAACCGTTGAATTTAAGTTACATATTTGAAATGTCAGGTTATGCTTTATGAACGTTCGGGACCATTATGACTTACATTGTTGTCGTTACTTCTGTTTGTTAGGGTGGGGCTCATGCCGGCTCCAGTGCGAGGTAAGAGGGTGACTTAGAGCTTTGCTCTGTCTCATGTGGATCCCGTCGTTGAACTTGGCGTTGGGCATGTTAGCCTGCTGAGCCATCTCGTTGGCCCACACTTGTTACTTTCAGTATCTACTCTTTGATTTTTCTGTGAGGTGAAAATGAACTTGATTGTTCAATTCACTCACCGGATGCTCCCATTAGCCAGTCATGGGGCCAGGTATTGGGATATCAGGGCTTAAGGTATCTGTTGAGTTCCTGTCTTGAACATCCCAACATATCTTTCAAAACAAAACAAAAAAAGTGCATGCAGCAAAGGCCTCTGTAGTACTTAGTGTGTAGCAGGTGCATCCCAGGCTCTCCATGCAGTCACGTGTTGATACGTGTCCTGATGAGATGCTCGCCAGTCCTCCGTTCTTTCCTTGAGTAAACTGTACCCAGAGAGGTAAGGTGTTTGCCCTGGATTATGAATCTCGTTTGCCTGATAGTTCAGTGCCCCAGTGCAGTAACAGGGCTCTTGAGAGAGAGTTCCACCAAAGCAGCGGAGACATTGTGAAGGTAGAAAAGAGAGCTGTGAGTTTTAATGGCAGCTTCAGAAGCTGACAAGTCGATTCCCAGGAATGAGAGAGTTATGTTTGCCCATGCAAATGCTGCATTTAATGAGTCCATGGGTTAAAGCAGTTACGGACGGACCCTGGAAGATGGGAGATAGATGGCTAAAGAAAAAAGAAAAAAGAAAACAAAGCCCAGATATCCACACCTTCAAAGATGCACAGGTCTCCAGACCAGTACTTTTTCAGTTATGCACAGGTGCGTGGCTGAAACATGGGAGACTTTGGTAAGTGCAGGGTCTAGGATATCTGCTCTGCCTTTTTCCTTGTAGCAAAAGTAAGGAACCTGTAAGAAAGAAAAAAAAATACACTTAAAAATAAGAATTATTAATTTATTCATATCTTGTTATATGGGTGACAGGTGACTTATGACCCTCTCAAAGAGGTTTTAAGGTGAATTTTATATTCCTCAGACGTTTCTCTTTGAAGGCTTCCAGTAACCTATGCAAGTATTCCACGGAATGCCTGCTTTACTGGTAGATTCAGCCTTCTTGAGAGTGGGATTGGAGCCCCTGCAGCCACAGAGCTAGCAGACCGTTGTGCTCTACCTTGGTGTCACAGCCTGGTCATGGGCACATCACCCAGATCCACACCCCATACTTCTCACACCTTGTAACTGTAATCTGTTCTTTTTCTCCTGTCCATCACCAGTGACTGCCTTGTTTCTGCCCTGCCTAGGATTTATTGCCCCCTCTAACTCTCCGATGGATGGACTTTATTATCCTCTAGTTAAGTTTATTGCCCTATCCTGTTCCCTGCTTCTTGGGATTCATGGTTCCTTTACTCCAGTGATCTCAACAAACCATCCCACATCCCCGACTCCCCTCCCTACGTTGAGTCTACCCATGGTCCAGATCAGCAAGTCAGAGACTGTCTAAGTACCACAGTGTAGGTGAGCAGCAGGTCAGGGGCTGTCTGAGCACCATGGTCCAGATGAGCAGGTCAGGGGCTGTCTGAGCACCATGGTCCAGATGAGCAGGTCAGGGGCTGTCTGAGCACCATGGCCCAGGTGGGCAGGTCAGGGGCTATCTGAGCACACTCTTGAGTCCATCTACCCTGCCACATTCCAGTACTACCTTTTTTTATCTACCAACTCTTCTCCCATCTTTTAAAAACAGCCTTTTTAAAACTATGTGATGGTAGAGGTGAAGCCAGAAGGGTCAGGTCCCCTGGAACTAGAGTCGCAGGAGTTTGGGAGCTGCCTGACTCCAGTGCTAGGAGCTGAACTCGGGTCTTCCAGGAGAGTAGGAAGTGCTCTGCCTGAGTCATCTATCCTGACCTATGTGTTCTTTCTCCTCACGATCACATGCTTAAGATTTAAATCAGTCTTTCCCAAAGCCCTCCATGTTTGACCTTTTAAAACTCTGCACAAGGCAGCAGGGCAGCAGGCCAAACTGGGACCTGATCTCCTGTGTCCTGGATACTGTTGAGCATTTCCAGCAGTTGACAGTGTCCCCAGGCTGGTTGTCAACACAGATGACTGCTACCAGCTTGGTCCCTACTCTTTACACCTCCCCTTGGAGGGGATCTATTCTTGACGGTTGCCAGGAGACACATAGCAACCGTTTCACTTTTGCTCCCTTTAGCCTTAAACCTAAACTAGTCCTCCTCATCCCTGCCTCCCTAACCCTGCTTATGGCAGCCCAGCCGGTTCCCTTCCTTTGCACACACACTCCCTGAGCAGCTGAGTCCCTTCCTGCATTCGAAACCCCCCTGTTCCCCGCTGTCACAGCCACTTCTCCATGCCTAGACCCCTTAAGTCTTTGGTGCCTATACCTGAAAACTCTCTGGTTTCCTCTTTCTTTCTGTCATTGTCTTCACTGGTCTCACCTCTGCTATACTGACTTTTGTGAAAAGGCAAGTGTGGATGTCCACTGGGACAGGGTCTCACAGCATAGCCCAGAGTTTTTCTTGTGCTAGGTAGAAATTTACCTCTAAGCTACTGCCCAGCCAAGGAAACCGTGCTGAATTTCTGTCCTTCTCTTCCTGCTGGAAAACTGGGGTTGCTCAGTTGGAGGGCATCATGACACCTCCGCATGATCTCAGCAGTGCTGGAGTGTTGGTTGTGGAATCCTGTACTCTGCAGAAAGGGTCTCCTGGGGTTTATTCTGTATATGTACAGGAGTGGGGTTCACTGACAGTTTTCAGACTAGAAAGGGACTCCCAGACAGATCAGGCCCTGCCAGACATCTTTTTCTTTCAACGGATCCAAGAAAGCAGGTTTAATAGTGGGTTAGTAGTCAGTTTTGGACTAGGAAGTCTGTATTTAGGGTGTCAGCTCTAATAGATATCATATGGGGCCGCTAGCTGTCCTCTGTCCAGAGACTATGAGTCTCATGAGAAGCATCAGGACTTGTTGAAGCCCCCTGAAGAACATCTGGGACTAGAGGAAGGCAGCTCTGCTCACTGAAGATATAAGAATGCTGAACTGTTACATCTGTGCTTTCAAACTAGATTATCCTAAGCTCTGGTAGAAAGGCCGTTATCCCACTGTTCAAGATCCAGATATCAGAAGCCCCAAAGTTATAGTTGCAGAGACCCTCAAGATCTGAGTAGATGAGATTTAAAAAAAATATATATCACACAGAGCAAAGTTAACTTCCATGCTTTCTTCTGATTAGGACGTGAATGTTGGTGCTTCCCGACCCTTCCCTGTCAAAGTGGAAGTCTAGAGGTGACTCTCCAAAGCTATCCTTTGTCCTTCATGTGCACACAGATTTAAATTAAATGCAGTTGAACCTTAATCCTCATCAGTCATGCTAGCCACGTCTGAGGTGTTGAGCCCCTGGTGGCTACCATATGCACAGGACAGGTGTAGAGTGTTCTGTCGACAGCAGGGATCAAGATGGATTCCAGTCGTATACAAACATATACACAGAGTTGGTGTGACATTGTACATACTGTTCTCCAGTTTGTTTTTTTCACCCAACAGAGAAACTGTTAACTCAGTGTGATCCGCATGCAGGATCATGCCAGAAAAGAAATCAAAAGGAGTACACTCGGAAACCCTAAAAGTTCAGCGTGTGCAAACTTGTTAATTTCAGGTTTTAGAAATCATTGCCCCATCTCTCCGTACTTACTGTAACATTAAGTAGACTGTTTGCAGAATGAGTCCACTCAGCTCTGGGCATGTTAAGAAAAAAACAGTTTAGAATATGTATGTGTTCAGGCTGCCCATGCTAACCTAACCACACACCCAGACACGCACAGTTCTTTTTCCGTCTTCTCACTGGCCAGTAGCTGCTCTACTTATGTTGCTATTGATGTGTATATTAAATGAGATGAAACTAAAATAGTTTAGCTCCTCAGCTATGCTGTTACCTGGATGTCAAGTGTCTGCTGCCACATATGGCAGTGGCTTTCATGTTGGGCAGTCTCCATGGTTGCATGAGATTCAGACGGACACTTACTCAGTCACTCTTTCCATGAAGTGCGGTGACATTTCCGTGGGTGAAGGATGGCGAGGTGATGACTGACTAGGGGCAACGAACAGGTGTTACTGGGAATGCTTGCAGTGCGTTTCCATGCCCTTTCCCCTT